AACCCTAACTGGGAAAGCATAGCTGCTGTCGTTGAATAAGGGAATGCTCGTTACCGTAAAAAAAAAAGCAGGCATTAAATAGAGCATCCTTTGAAAATAGTAAAAAAAAAGTTGAAAGTGAGGTTAATTGAAACAGAATGGTGCATTATGAGGGTTAACGTGAAAACAATTTAATTGTAGCTGTCATTGATATAAAATGTTGGAAATTTAGATTGTCAAAATCTAATATGTTCTTTGACAACCCGTCATGCATCTTTATCCAAGTGACATTTTATTTATAAATCACAAGATCACGTCATCATTTATGCCATTTCACATAAGTTAGTCAGTGTACAAGCCAGCGTTAAGTAAAGGTTTTGATTCTCAAGGCCGGCGGTTGAATAAAAAGGTACATTTTAGACAAATTGTACACGGGTTAACGAAAAAGGAAGATATACGCCAACTTTGTGCTGTGTGTGTGCAATCACAACTGTTTTGCAGGAGTTCATCGTAACTCCAAAGACGGTGCTTCGTCATACCGTTTTCGTGCACCTAGGCAAACACGGAATGGTCAATACTTGTATCTGATTTTTGTTAACTTTTGAGAAATGGCAGGTAAACTTTGGTGGTATTCTATCTGAGTTGGAAAAGAGACATATTCTTGAGCAACTAACTTGGGTGACTTTTTCCCGTGTCCCTTTTTGTAACTCGAATACTGATGTGAAATTTAGGGCCAGTGAGGCACTAGATATAAATGACAACATCAAGTTTCGGCCGGGCCAAAATTAAATGTAACGTGGGTTAAATGGCGGTAAAAACAAAACTGAATGGAGTGCGCCGTGATAGTACAGAGTCTGTATACAGCTTTTGGTCAAACCAAAATCTCTACTGATTCGACATCCAGTGGATTCTCTGTAATTTTCTGTTGTTGAAAATCAAACAACTATAGGGGTTGTTTGTTTGTTTGTTTGTTTTGCTTTTGTTTGATCAGTTTTGTGCTTGTATTGCGGGGGGCAGATCTGCCTAGCGTGATCTGTTATAGTGACGCAAGAAGTTTAATCAAATACAAGCGGGACAAGCATGTCTTTTGAGGATATCAAGTGATTCTGCAGTTGAAAGCAAGCGAAATTGTACTAAATGTTTTTCCATGAACGAAATAAGGAGGCGAGTGTTGCCAGACTGTGTCGCCCCTTGATCCATTTCTCTTACACCGTCAATAATAAACATTCACTATACAGATACTCCGCTGGTTTTTTTTTCCATTGAGATCACTAGGCAGAAATGGACCCGAACACAGTTGAAATCGGTTTTATTGTCGAACATTTAAGAAATTAAGATTATAAATAAAAAATATCCATGTATTCAATCCAGAAATTGCCCTGGGAGTTTTGCGCTCACGAAATAAAAAAAAATAGGTGAGGGAAAAATCTAAAAGTTGTGGTGTTGACCAAGCATTCAGGCGCACGGACTCCTG